CCTACATCCACTTTCTCCACTCAGCCACAAGCACACATGACATTTAAGGGGCTATAATCAGTGTAGTTTTCACTTCTGAATTCATCAGATTTGTCTCTGAATATAGCATGGAAATATTCTGTGTTTGCAAACTGCATTTGTTATAGCTATAGCACATTATGTAGGCATTATTTTTTAAGAGCACACTTACATTGCATGCAACATTCACCAATGTGAATTGCATGGCAAAGTTCATTTCATGCATAAAATGTAATACTTCTTTCACTGTAGGTCTTTAAAATAGGTCACTGAGATTATACAGTAAATTTTATTAACATCTTTTCAGGACTTTATTACAAAATATTATTGCAATTACTAAAGACCTTTGGACAGGGAGACTGGAGGAGTGGATTTATTGTAAAATGTGAGGTAGTTGTGTGGAGGGACTATTGAGATTCACTGTGAAGTGGGATTGGTTATGGAGAGGGCACACTGGGAATAACTTCAGGATGTGAAGTGGTTGTAGGGGAGATGACTGGGATTGTTGTGGAGCATGAAGTGGTTGTTAAAGTGGGAGAATAGGAGTGTACAAGGACTCTCCAAAAAGTTTGTAAAAGATAAAAATTAAAGTACAATTTTTATTTTTGTGTGAAAATAGTTTTGAAATTCATGCAGATTTTTTCATAATATGCATTTTCTGTGAAATTTTTAAAGCCCCTTGCATTATAGAAGCAAAAAGGATTTTCCATTTCTGAGGACTACTCTTGTCATGGGGTGTGGATTGGTTGTAGAGGCAAGAGAGAAGTGGGATTCATTATGGAGTACAAAGTTGTTTAGGGAGTATAGATGGGCTTATTGCAGAGTAACTTGCCTGGGTGAAAGGACTGAGGAAATCAGATAGCTAAAAGGGGTTATTGGATTAGAGAACATGGATTTACTGTGGATTGAGAAAGGGATTATAAAGGTGAGTGGATTCAGATTTACCTGGGAGTGTGAGCTGTTTGTAGGGAAGAGGGATTAGAGATTAATATGGAATGCAAAAAGGCTGTGGGAGGAGAGAAAAAGCATTTCCTGTGGAGTATAAAGCATTTCAGACACAAGAAGGTTTGAAAATTACTGTGGAGTGTGAAATGGTTTTGAAGGGGGACTGAGGCTTATCATAGAGAATGAAGGGATGTGAGAGTAGGTGGATACAGACTATGAAGTATGAAGAAGTTCGGGAGAAGAGGTCTGAGGTTACTATGGAGTGTGCAGTTTGGGGAGAGGAAAGGTTGAGAATGAATGCTAAATGTAAAAGGGCTGTAGAGTCAGAAGTTGTGTATACTGTGAAGTTTAAAGGGTTTGAGGCTGGAAATGCTGTTCAAGTGGAATGTGAATGAATTGTGGCAGGTGAGATTTAGAGTTCATTGAGAAGTGAGTGCTAAGAGTTTGCAGATAGGTAGGGATTATATGGAATGTGAAGTGAATGTGTGAAGATGGGGTTTGTGGAATATAAGAATGTTGGTTTTGTGGAATGTAAAAGGAGTGAGAACAATTGTGCAGGGTAAACTGGTTGTTGGGAGGGATGATTAGTTCAATATAATCTGGTGTGTGAGAAGTTTGGAGTTTATCGTGGGAGTTAGGTAGGTAATTGCAGTGGGTACTGTTCATGGAGTGTGAGATGGTAGTGGAGATGGACAGGTTTTACTGTGGAGTGTGAAGTGTTACAGGGTAGGTTGTCAGAGATTCTGAACCAAAAAGTGGTTTTGTGGAGGGAGATTGAGTTTACTCTACATCATCAGAATTTATGAAGATTGATTAAGGTTTCTTGTGTGTTAAGGGGTTGCTGGAGAGAGTACTGGAGTCTACCTTGGAATATGAAGAACTGTGGGGAGGGATAAATGTGGATTACTCTAAAGTGTGAAGTGGTCCTAAGGCTAAGAATTTTACTGTGGCGTGTGAAGTGATAGGGAAGTTTTATGTTTAATGTGTAAGATATGGCTGTAAAGAGAGAGATAATGGCTGTAAAGAGAGAGAATTGGAGCTCCCCATGAGATATGAGTTGGTTTGGGAGGTATTGTATTTTGGATAGTTGTACACTAAAGGTTCATGTGCTGGGAACTTGGTTCCCAATGTAATGGTGCTGAGAAACAGAGACCTTTAAGACAGGAGGTCTATTCAGTGGTGTCTTATCATGGTGGCATAGCCCTCATGAAGAAATAAATTCCTTCTCAGAGGAGGGAATGAATTCTCACTCTTGCAGAAGTGGGTTAGTTTCTTTTAGAGTTGGTTGTCACGAAAGTAAGATGGCTGCCCACAGGTCACTCTGTTGAATGTATTCACTATCCTTCTGAGTCGGCCGGCCATGTTGTGACATAAGATGTGATGCTGGCCTCACGCTCTTGAACTATCCAGCCACCAGAATCATCAGCCAAATATATCCCTATTCCTTATAAATCACCCTGTCTCAGGTATTTCTGTTTGGTGACACAATAATGAACTTTAACGGGAGGGTAAGATTATGGTTTCCTGGGGACTATAAAATAGTTGCTGAGTTACAGAATCAGATTCACTGTGGAATATTAAAAGGGTATAAAGAGGGACCATTTTTATTTTAAAAAGAATATGAATTGGTTGTAGCAGGTGGGAGGATTATTGTTTACTGTAGCACGGTGTATGAGAGGCTCTGGGGAGAGGAATTAGGGTTTATGTGGCAATGAGAAGACTATGGCTTACTTTGGAGAGAGATGTGACCTTCTGAGTTATCTTTGGTCTGCTCTTTTATTCTCTATCTCTCCAAAAACTAGTTCCCAAGCCTGACTACACATGTCCATTCTTGGGAAGAAACTTAGGATCAAGAAATCTCTCCCACCACCCATTACAACCTTCCATTCTTCCAAAGGCCCAGTCCTTTGAGCTGGAACTGTAGAAAACACAAGATCTATCTTCATGGAGCTCTAAGTCTAAAAACAAACAGGAGGCTCAAGGACAGAGGAAACAAAGTATTATGTCTTGGGTTAACTCTAGAGTCCAGAAAGGTTGTGTAAGGGCACCTTTATGTTCCCACCTCAAGTATCACCTCCAGTTCTTCAAGATTAAATGCTCACTGGCATTCAAGTCAGACTGCCCTTCTGGTAAAGGAATATGGCTATGGATTCAGCTATCTCTTTTTGGATAAAAAAGAGAATGGGATCCAGCAGTTGGTATGGAGGTTAAAGCAGCTAGATCCCACATGGCAGACTGCATGGTTCCAATCCTCGAGGCAGTGGCTTTAAAAAGGCACTGACAGTGTCTGTGTGTGTGTGTGTGTGTGTGTGTGTGTGTGTGCATGTGTGTGTCTGTATGTGTGTCTAAAATCCTGAGCGAAGAAATAGAGGAGGAGGGATTGTGGTGTGGCTATCTTCCCTGGGGGTGTGGAGGGTATGATTTCTCATTTTACCTCTCTTTTTCTCTGGTGTGTGAGAGAGAAACTGTTTGCCCTATAGCAAACTAAAGAGAGAGAGAGAATAAGTCTTTGCCTAATAGGGAGCCCAAGCTTGCTGAGAACTGCATCCTCTGGGACAAAGGTTCTTAGAGGGCAGCATGGAATACTGTGGTTGAATGCATGGTCTCTGGAGTTGGCTAAAACTGAGCTCAATTCTCAGTTCTACTATTTTAGTAGATCCTTTTCAAATTTGGTAGTTTTCTACAGTTGAAGTCTCCATTCTACTATTTTCTTTGTTACATCAAGACTGGCATAATGCATTGGCCCTGCTAAGTAGGCAGGCCTTGGAAAATACATCTTGAGGGGGCAATGATATTCATGGAAACAGAGGCAGGATGAGAAGACCCCATCCAGTTGGCACAGACTAATATGGATTTAGCTGGTTCTACAGTCTCAGCTGGGTGGGAACTCCTGGTTCACAGCATCCTGACCATGAGAGGGAAGCTTCTCTCCAAGTGGGTTAGTTCTGAGCTGTAACTCCCAGAATCTTTCTTGGAAGTTTAGCCTCTGTGTCATAGGATCTTCCTTATCAGTTGTGGAAACTCTACATTTACTAATAGATCCCTTTCTGCTGAACATGGCAAGATTTACTTACATTGGTTGCATTAAAGAAACATAAACATTACAGCTACTGAACTTTATAACTTCAAGCAAAGCAGCCTGCACAGGTCCTACAGCCCACAGCAGCAAAGCAGCTAATTGGCCATGAGCAAAACCACCTAGGTTTGAGATCTAGCTCTGACACCAACTGTGCAAAGTTGGGTAGTTATTTCATCTTCTTGGGTTGCTATTTCTTCTTCTTGAACTGTGGGCACTGTTGCCTACTTCATGAGATGTTTTGAAAACTAAACAGACTAATTCATATTATAATAGCACTTAGAAATGCAGCTGTGATATGTGAAGCACTAAATAAAGATCAATTATAGTGATAACTCTCTCTAGTCTTCATTTTTCATTTATAAACTTAAAATAACAACACTCACCTCATTAAGTTTGTAGCAACATTAGATTTTCATAGTGCTTTTCATAATTCTTTCCTAACTCTCATCCTCCTTCTCTCTCCCTCTTTCTCCTTTCCTCCCTTCCTTCTCTTCTTTCTTCCTTCCAGAATGGCAAAGGGAGGTGCTGATGCTATCAAGAACCCAAGATTCCTAAGGTAAACTTGATTTACTTATCAATGTTTATATTTAGATTTTTGCCATAGGCCATGTGCCCTTGCTGAAGAGAGAGAGGGAGTGAGAAATCATCATCAGGGAGGTTGACCATGCCACAATTCCTTCTCCTCCATTCTCCTCTCAAGATTTAATGTTACATCTCCTCTGAGCCTTTTAGAATGAGAACTATACCCCAAGAGGAACCCAGTACCCAGGATAGATAGAGAACAGCATAGCTATGCATCTTGACTATACTAAGCTTACTTAAACAGTCAAGCAATTAACATTCACATAAGCCTTCATTGAGTAAAGAACTTTTAACTTGACTTTTTGTTGTTGGTTTTTGTGTGTGTTATTATTGTTATTATTTCTATTGCCTGGCTTTTAAGTGCCTTTCAAAAATTTTTTTGCAATTACGTGCTTTTCCCATTTTATACCTTAAATAAAACCTTATGAGTAGAAAGAAGCAAATATTCTTTATTCTCAATAAATAGAATAAGGAAGAAGCAAATATTCTTTATTCTCAATAAATATGTTTCCCACTGAGGAATGTAAGAAATTGGAAAGTGAGTTTCTTCCTCAGGCAATTTCTAGAACCATCCAGAGGCACCCAGAATTTAGAAGAAAACAGAAGAGACTTTCATTCAGCAAAATAGTTGGTACTTGGTCCACTGGCATCTTTCTTCTCCTCATATGAAATTTAATCACTATATCAATTAAATTTCTTCCATTATAAGCCATGAAAAATAAAATTCAAATTGTCTAGAGGTCAGAAGGAAGTTGGTATGAGTGATGTATTCAACCATGGTTTGAAGCCGTTCTGCATTAGGGAAAAGAATCCAAGCTTGTCAGCACAGCTCCTTTTTTTTCTTCCTTCCTTTCAGGGTGTGTCTGACAGCAGAAAGCATAGAGGAGGAGTCTTAAAACGTTCATGAGAATACACATCATAAAAAAAGCCTAGATTTCAAAATTATTTGTACCAAAATGAACTTATACTTTAATTCCATTTTTCCTACTAATTTTGATGTCTTCATACTTTACACTTCTCCAGGCTGCAAACTTCACTAGAAGAAGATACCCCCATTCACACAGGGATAAGAGCCCCTGCAATGGTCCAGCAGTGTTTAAATGAAAGAACAGATTAGCTTTATTCTGAAGTTTGATGTTAGAAAAAACATGATTGTTGTTCCTTTTTCTTCAACACAACCATCAATAGTATTAATCTGTGAAGGTGATGGGTGATAGTCTGATCTCCATCTGCCCAACTTTAGCTTTTCTCTCAGTTGGTTGTAAACTCAGACATGGAACAAGAGTGGTACTAGTAGGGCCTGTGACTCACCACCGCTGTGTCCATTCCAAAGAGGTGCTCATAAACACTCAATGAATGAATGAACCCGAAAGACACTTGAAAGATCATCCCATTTGCCCTAACAAAGAGAATAGAGACCCAGAGCAATGATCTGACTGTCCAGAATTATCTATCTTGACAACTTCCCCTCAAATCTTTGTTCCATCTAATACATGCTACTATTGACCATGTCCAGACAGAAAGTAATCCAGTAACTATTACCCAGTACATTGTGTCCAAATTTTATAGACCTTTAACTTAAACAGGGAGAAGACTTAAAAACAAAAAGATTAAACCTCTCCATGTGCTTTTCACATTATTCTCTTCCAGGAGTTAGGAGGTAAATTCTTGGCCCCACCCGACTCCTATCACTATAGAATTCTTTTGGGTGAATCATTCCCAATCTGAACTGATAATCCTTGCAGCAAACTTTTCTTTCAAGATCATAAAAACGCAGCGGCTCGTTAATCATACAACTATTTAACCCAGTCCCTCCCTACAAATGAGCTCCAAACCCTTAACGTATAATCTACCCACCCACACACATTGAAATGAGATTATTGTTCCCACAGAAAAGAGGCCTGCAGTTGCACAAGTCCCAACTTTGTTCTAGAGGGTGATAAAAAGGAAGAAAAAGCCCGAGTTGTTTGATAGGCTTCTAAGGACAGCACAGAAAGGATGAAAGATTACCTCCCAGATACACAATGTAAAACACCTTTCCAACAAACATCCAGAGGGCTCCCACACTGCATCTGGGCATGCTCCCCAACCCTTTGATCTAGAAGCCATTGCAAATTAGCAATAGTTACAAAGGTGGCCACAGTGGATGCATTTATTTCTTCTTGAAATAATGCAGCAATTATTCCTTCCTCCACTGCTAGGGAGGAAGAATATCCATAGAAAGGACACTGTGGCAAGCGGGAACCCAGACTGAACAACAGTTTCTCACAGCAGGGACTGAAGATTTTGGAATCATGTACATCTGGAATCTAGGCTCAAACTTGCTACTAATTGCTATGAGATTCAAAACTACAACTACTAATGGAGCCCTTCTATGTGCCAAGAATGCTATCAGGTGTTACAACTGTTATAACTATCCCTAAGATCTGGGCAGGCAGTGTCATCAGCTCTGAGTTAGACAATTTCCACAATTAAAAGAGATTATAGAATATATGCTATGCAATTGTTATAAAGAAAAGAGAAGAATGTAAAGACATGCCTTGCTGGGACCAGCAATTAGAGTAATGACTATGTCGTTGGACTCCCATGTAGTCGACCGTAGTTAGAGTCCCGGACCTGGTAGCTTAAAACTCACACAGGGCACATGTGCATGAGTGCCCAAGATCCTGAGAGGAGAATGGAGGAGAAGGGATTGTGGTGTGGCCATCCTCCTTTGGGGGTGATTTCTCACTTTATGTCTCTCTCTGCCTTTCCAGCGAGCACACACACCCTATAGCAGAAACCTCTCAATAAAAAATAAATAAAGACATGCCTTGCTCATAGTCTGCATGCAGTCAACAGGAATGTTGATCTTTTTTCACTCATTGGGAAGGGCTGGTTACAAGGCATTTTAGAGAATGGGAGCCATTGATTTGAGAGCCAAATATCCAACTGCAACTCTGGAGAGAATCTCTGCTAGAGAACACTTGGGAAAAGCATACAAGATTTGAACTTCAATTCTCTGATCATACCAGAGAGTAGAGGAGCTCCTGCATTAAAATGACACATCACAGGAACACTAGGAGAGGATTAAAACAGACTGGACCTCTGGGCTGGGAATGTGGGAGTAAGAGTCAAAGATGGACTGACGGGAGGCTGCTGGAGATGTGGAAGGAGATAGATATGCTTTAACATCCTCTTGTTCATTCCTAGACATGTCAACAAGAGCAGAGCAAAGTAGACTGCCTTTCAAAGATGAAGTTCCAGAAGGAATGAAACAAGGCTGTTGCTTTCTGTGAACCTTTCCCTAATCCCTCCCTCTCCCTCAAGCAAAGCCCAAATTTCTTGGGCACCCCTGCCCTACACACAGCCCTCTAAGGTTGCCTGAAAATCAATTATGAAATATTGATTTCCTCCCTAAACTGTAAAGTCTTCCAGGGAAGAGACTGTTGTGTTTTCATTGGTACTAATTGTTTAACACATTGGCTGACATATAGAGATATTTATACATAAAGAAACATGCTTTTAAAATGTACATAACTATTTTGCATTGTTTTCTTGAAATTTAGAGTTACAGCCTTGCCTTTTTAATGGTTGCAAATATTTCCTCATGTTGGTGCACCATAATTAACTTGGGCATTTTACTACTAATGAAGTATCATCATTTTTCTAGATTCCTTTGTTTTCACCACTGATTACTCCTAGTAACAGAATGCTAGAGGTAGCTATCATACTATTTTGTTTATACCGAGATAGTAAGGCACTATGGGAAAGAGCACAAACTCTGGAACTAGACCATATTAACTATCTGTGTAAACTTGGGTAGACTATTTTACCTCTCTGAACCCCAGTTTTTCAACTCCAAATTATAGCTGATAACATCAACATCTCATACTGTTATTACAAAGAGTAAATAATTGCTATGTTAAGCATAGTACGAACAGTGCCTGGCACATACATATAGTAAGTGCTCTGTGAATGATTGCTATTGTTAATATTCACACGGCTGTGTCCCACAAGACTAGGAGATACTTGGAGAATGAGCATATCTCACTGTCATGTATTCCAGGCCATCCTCCCCAGACTGGAAAGGTTCGTGTATATTTGGTGAGTACATGAGAAATGCAGTTGGGGAGAATCAAACATCAACCTCATTGTGCCCAGTATCCCAAAGAAATCGGGTTCACCAATTTGCATTACATTTTTATCCCAAAATGTATATCAAAACTTAGCAGTACTTGGCACCTTAGTTTGAAATAAATTTATTGGATGTTTTCTAGGGACAAGGATTGATAACAGGGAGGAAATTGACACCTGAGACCTTGGTGTCAATTTTCTATTCTTTGTGCCTTAGACCAAGAATAGAACACTGTAAAGAAAGCTGAGGTACAGGGATGGGGTTGGCCAATCTGAACACAATGTCAATGACTCCCCAGCTTTATCAAGAGTTCACTCTTCACCTATTAACTTTGTGTGTGTGTGTGTGAGAGAGAGAGATTTTTGTGATAGGATGTGTGCGCTTGCCTGAGAGAGAGAGAGAGAGAGACAGAAAGCAAGGAATCTCCTCCCAGGGAGGACGGTCATGCCACAATCCCTTCTCCTTCGTTCTCCTCTCGGGATCTTGGGTAGGCACACATGCATGCACAGTGTGAGTTTTAAGCTGCTGGGTCTAAGACTCAAATCATCGTCAACTAGTGGGAATGCAGTAATGTAACCATTATGCTGCCTGCTGGTCCCCACCTATTAACTTAATTAGAGTCAGACTCCTATTGACTTAACTGTGGCTGATCATTCCCCTTTCTATCAATGTAATAAACCTAGACTGAGGAAGCAATAAGAAAAAAAAAAAAACATTATTGAATGCTTACTGCATAGCAAACACTTTTTTTAAAAAATCACTATGAGGTACACGTGCTAGTCAGAGACAGAGAGAGACAGAAAGTGAGAAATACAGCCTTGCCTTTTTAATGGTTGCAAATATTTCCTCATGTTGGTGCACCATAATTAACTTGGGCATTTTACTACTAATGAAGTATCATCATTTTTCTAGATTCCTTTGTTTTCACCACTGATTACTCCTAGTAACAGAATGCTAGAGGTAGCTATCATACTATTTTGTTTATACCGAGATAGTAAGGCACTATGGGAAAGAGCACAAACTCTGGAACTAGACCATATTAACTATCTGTGTAAACTTGGGTAGACTATTTTACCTCTCTGAACCCCAGTTTTTCAACTCCAAATTATAGCTGATAACATCAACATCTCATACTGTTATTACAAAGAGTAAATAATTGCTATGTTAAGCATAGTACGAACAGTGCCTGGCACATACATATAGTAAGTGCTCTGTGAATGATTGCTATTGTTAATATTCACACGGCTGTGTCCCACAAGACTAGGAGATACTTGGAGAATGAGCATATCTCACTGTCATGTATTCCAGGCCATCCTCCCCAGACTGGAAAGGTTCGTGTATATTTGGTGAGTACATGAGAAATGCAGTTGGGGAGAATCAAACATCAACCTCATTGTGCCCAGTATCCCAAAGAAATCGGGTTCACCAATTTGCATTACATTTTTATCCCAAAATGTATATCAAAACTTAGCAGTACTTGGCACCTTAGTTTGAAATAAATTTATTGGATGTTTTCTAGGGACAAGGATTGATAACAGGGAGGAAATTGACACCTGAGACCTTGGTGTCAATTTTCTATTCTTTGTGCCTTAGTAGAATTTCAGAACACTGTAAAGAAAGCTGAGGTACAGGGATGGGGTTGGCCAATCTGAACACAATGTCAATGACTCCCCAGCTTTATCAAGAGTTCACTCTTCACCTATTAACTTTGTGTGTGTGTGTGTGAGAGAGAGAGATTTTTGTGATAGGATGTGTGCGCTTGCCTGAGAGAGAGAGAGAGAGAGACAGAAAGCAAGGAATCTCCTCCCAGGGAGGACGGTCATGCCGAAATACCTTCTCCTTCGTTCTCCTCTCGGGATCTTGGGTAGGCACACATGCATGCACAGTGTGAGTTTTAAGCTGCTGGGTCTAAGACTCAAATCATCGTCAACTAGTGGGAATGCAGTAATGTAACCATTATGCTGCCTGCTGGTCCCCACCTATTAACTTAATTAGAGTCAGACTCCTATTGACTTAACTGTGGCTGATCATTCCCCTTTCTATCAATGTAATAAACCTAGACTGAGGAAGCAATAAGAAAAAAAAAAAAAACATTATTGAATGCTTACTGCATAGCAAACACTTTTTTTAAAAAATCACTATGAGGTACACGTGCTAGTCAGAGACAGAGAGAGACAGAAAGTGAGAAAGCACTCACTAAGGGTATGACGACACTGAAATCCCTTCTCCATTCTCCTCTTAGGATTGGAGCATACACACACATACACCTGTCATGTTTTTCAAACTACCAGGTCCAGGACTCGAACTGCACATAGGATCCAACTACTTTAACCACCATGCTCCTGGCTGCCCTGAAAACACTTAAGTAATGATCTTATTTGAATCTCACAAATACACTAGGAATTCTCTATTATCCTTTTTCTACAGATGAGAACATTGAAGCATAGTCAACCATGGCCATAGAGTTGGGAAACAGAGCAATGAGGAAAATTTGCCCTCGTTAACTCTCAATTCTAAACTTTCTTTCTTGTTTAAGAAGAGAGGGCTTACACAACGCTAGCTCCCAGGAAGCAAATCATTGCAAGTTTAATATTCTGACACTCTGAATCAAGCAAGAAAGGAAGGAGTTCATCAACTTTAAATCCCATCCATAAAACTGCCAGGAAGCAAGCACGGTCATTAGCCTTTGTTTCTGCTTAGGTATCATGGCTGGAGATAGGAAAAGCAAAGGTGCTGAAACAGGTACAGGTAAGTCCTACCAGTCAGCAAGTGTGAACTTGCATCATCACAAACAGATCTGTTGAATGTTCTGTCGTTGGAGAGAATCCAGCACAGCTGAGTATCAGAGAGATGTTCAAACTTCGAATCACCAGCTTCCATCTTGGTTATAAAAAGAAAAAAGAAGGTTTTGTTGTTGTTTTTACTTTTTATTGTTTACTATGTCAAGTTGTTATCCCAGTCCAAAAAGGCCTAAATGATCCAATATGGTCCCTACTAAGGTTTGATATTTTATGGATTAAAAACTCAAAAAATATTTGGAATATATGTAAGCTGATTATGTATATGAATCTTTCATTTCCTAAGGTAAAATCTTAGACTGATTTTCAACTTTGTTTACAAGTGTTTTATAATATGAATCTAGTATTATCTTATGTGTTATCTATTAGTGAGGAAATAAAATGGAGAGTAGAACTTATTTTCCCTGTATGGTGGGAAAACTGAAGAACTAGGATTTAGCAGTCCTCTAAAAATTAGGAAAATAAAAGGCCTTAAAAAGAAAAAAAAAAAAAAAGAAGAAAGAAAGCAAAAAAGAAAGAAAGAAAAGAAAGAGGGAAAGAACAAAGAAAGAGAAAGAAAGAAAAAGAACTCATACAGGGGCCTAGAATCATAGACCTCGAAGAGACCTTATTGAATGTCACATCTAATGTTGTCATAACATTGCCACCAACACAGGGGTCCTCTCTAGCACATCCTTAGGGATAGCCATCCAAATCCTGCTTCTACACATCCAAAGAAGGAAGGATGTTTTTCCTCTCAGTGGGAACCCATAATTCAAAGAAAATTCTCCACGTGAGCAATGCAGATGCCTGGCAGGCACACAGCAGGCCTGGGGTATGCTGGAATCCAGCTGCATGGCAGTGTTCATTCCAGGTGGCTAGTGATCAGTGACATGGCTCAACCAATGGTTTATTGACGTACTTTGGAATGTATTTCCTCAGTAATTGTTATGTATGTGGCTGCTTCAAATGCTGAGTCAAGCCTTCACCCTTGCTCATGTTACAGACTTTTATTGTACATTTTAACCTTTTGTAGAAATAAAACTGTGCATGTATTGGATATCCGTTGAATGCCAAACATTTAAGAAACCACTTCCAGTGCTTTTGTTCATTTATCCTTATAGTCACTGTGAAGAAAATTTATTACCCTCATTTTACAAATGAAGAAGTTGAGGGTTAAAAATTTGTCCTGGTGGGGGAAGCAGGAGACCAAAGAAATTATTAGTACTGAGCAGGAATATTACATTAGGAATTCCTAGAAAGGAGCTATACTCCAACTGATGGAAGGTGGCCTATTGGGGGCATGATTTCTGAGCCAGACCTTAAGGAAGAAAAAAGCATTTCCAGACGATAGGACCCTCACTTAAAAAAGGCATGGGGCCTTGAAAAATACTGAATTTACAACGTTTCTTCAAGGAAGCTCACCCAACTCCCCACCCAGAATCTCT